TTGCCTAAAGTTCTAGGACTTTGATAATCTGCCCTCCCACATCTGCCTGCCACTGCCCCTCAGAACACTTGCAATAGGCAAAGACTTCCTCTTCTCCCCAAGGCACTATTCCTTCTTTCAAATTATTAAAAGAAAGTTATAGCTTCTGGGAATTTTATAACCTTGGTTACTGAGAACCACACCATCAATTTATATATATATATATATATATATATATATATATTTTTAAGTGCTATTTATTCTTTAAAAATTTTATACATGTGTGCAATGTATCTTGAATATATCCATAGCTATGGTTGTGGCCAAAGTAATTCAAGCAATGGATAAGGAACTAATATAGTTTTACTATGAGTATTTGTCTTTGTGGAGTCGATGGCTGTCAGCCCACACAGGTACTCAGCAATCAAAGCAGAATAATAAGAATTTCCATGCCTTTCAACATTAGTCATTTTTCTCTGGCAGAACTTCTTCCAGTCACTTACAGGCATATGGTAAGAAGAGTTAACTAAGAGTTGCTTCACTGTGCTTCAGCAAACCAGAATGAGTTTTCCACCTTTGTTTTGATGCCCTGAGATTCACTGCCATTCTTAATCTTTATTTTTTTTAAGAAATAAATGAATTTTTAAGGATTTCTAGATCACTATTTTCCATTATGCTGGCACTCAGTTCCAGCCCAAGAATGACCAACATAAGATAGAAATATTTTGGTACTGAGGTATTTCTGGGTGGGTTGTGTGCTTTCTAGACTTCCTTCTCCATTATCCAGAGGATTCAACTTGTGGGTTGTGTGCTGAGGAAACAGGAGTGGGCTTGAGTTCATAAATGCAGGTAAGATGTAGTATTGTTATTGACAGTTAGAGCAATGTCTGTGCTATCAAAACATGCTCTAATTTGATGTGTGCTAAGGAAACAGGAGTGGGCTTGAGTTCATAAATGCAGGTAAGATGTAGTATGTGTTATTGACAGTTAGAGCAATGTCTGTGCTATCAAAACATGCTCTAATTTTGCATATGTTTGCATATGTTTCTCCTGAATTCTATCACGACGACTCTTAGACACTTCTTTCTGGGACAGAACTTTCTCCTGAATTCTATCACGACGACTCTTAGACACTTCTTTCTGGGACAGCCCATCTATGTTTTATATTCTGCATCTATCTAATCAGGCTTACTACCTTTTTAGCTGCTTACTCAAACAACACCGTGTCTGCCCCATATTACTGTGAGATCCTCCTAAATGCAACTCTGACTTTTCATCTTGTCCACCACCCCAGTCTAATCTCTACATGCCATTGGAGTGATATTTTAAAGCACAGTGGTGATCATATTTAAGTTCTTGGATTGAAACTCCTTGTAATGAAACCTAGTCTTTTCTAAGCTTTTCATGTCTTCATTGAGATTCCTTCCCTGAATGCTACCCACAATGCTCCTTCCACAGCCATCCCTCTCTTCATTCAAGCGCCTGCTTCATTGTCATTCCTTCTATAGACACCTGACTAATATAAATGATCCTCTAGACATACACCTGTCATTGGCTTTATTTTTCTTAACAGCATTCATTACTATCAGATAACACATATTCACTTATTTTCCTATTACCCTTTGTCTTTGACTTAAGCTCAATGATTTATTTCTGCTTTTCTAGTTCTTAACAATAGTATGTATATCCTAAGAGTTCGGTAGATATTTGTTTACTAAAGGAATAATTGATATTGTCTCTGGTAGGTTAAATTTGCAGTTTAAAAAATTGCAGATGTTGAGTAGTCTAAAGCAGGCAACTTCTCATGTCTAAGAGAATTCTCTTTTATAGATAGAGCCCACAATAATTCCTGACAATGCTTTCCTACTGACTGGTAGAGAGGGATGTGGGTGGGATAATGGATGTCAGAGTGCACATTAAATGTAAAGACATTCAGTTCTTTTGTTACAAATAATTGGCATGCTGATGAGAAAGGGCTTAAGGGTCTCCTGAACAGGATATACTTTATGTTTAACAGATGTGTGCTCCAGAAGTTGATGCTATTTGTGTAGGTAAATAGGCTTTGAAACCTTTCTCCTCTGATTGATGAGGCTTGGAATTTCAGTAGGAGAGTGCTGAGTGTGTCCTGATAGTCCTAGAACCACCATGGGTATAAGAGGTGGTATAGAACGAAGTTCTTTAGAATTTCCATTTTGAAGCAGGAAATGCAAACATAAGTGGAATTTTTAGAACTTGTAGAATAAAAATTATCAAAAGGATGAATCACTAATTGCTAATTATGAGACAAAGCAAAAAGCATGCTCAGATAAGAAGGTAGAATTGCTGTTTCAAATACTGAGCAGGGTTGCCACAAATGATGATATTCTTAGGCTGATACATGTTATAGGTCTGCTTTGTACCCTTCCCAGATCTGTTCTTGGGGCTTCTGTGGTTGTCAGGGGAAAATTTTCATGCTGCCAAGTGAATGGAACCTTCTCAGGGTGACGGGGGCACTTCTCACACCCGAGTAACTTGATGTTTTCTTGCTCCTTTGGGCCTGAGCACAGTAAGAAGTGAAGTCTACCTTATAACTAAGGAATCACTCACTCATCTAGTGACTTCTCATCTCAGGCTTTTATAGACCAAGGGGGTCCAGGGTCAGTGCCAGGTAAGCTTCAATGAGTTTAGTGCCAGAAAGGTAGGTTCTGACTAATGACATTTACTGCAACTCACAGGCATATCTCTTCTTAGCTTTCTGTGACTTTTGGGGTCTAATGGGCTTCTATAATCCACTTCTTGCTACTGCTTATACTAGAAGAGTGGGAGGGCTATTGGTTTCTATGATACTCAAAATCTATCAACACAATAAGCCCTTCAGCAATTGGGTCCATGTTCCTCCTCTGTATCCATATCCTTGCATGTGTTCCCACTTACGAATATGAACCCAAACTGCTGCCTTCTTTGATAGAAAAGCAATGGTCCAATGTCTCCACAAATAAGATAGCATGTGTCCCTTATGAGTTGTCACTCCAGAGATGACCTCTTGTTGGCTCTCCTCTAGTGTCCCTAGCCAACTGCCATGGTCACCCTTCAGGTGTCTGGGCTCTGCTGCTCACTGGCATGAGGTAACTGTCTAGGGTCTTCCATGCCTGTCCCTTGCTCAGTTGCCCCTTTCCTGGAAGGCAAGTTGTACATTCAGCATTTTAAAAACCTTTGGAGAAAGATGTCCTTCCAGGAGCATAAATTATATGCCAAAAAGTGTCCTCTCTGGAATGAACAAAAGGCACCCTATCGTCTGGGCAGCTGTCAAGCATAAGGTTCAGCTAACAGCCCTGGCTGGTCTAACTCTGGATTTCGTATCAGCTGGTTATCTAACTCATCTAACTACTAAGCTCATCTAGTTCTGCTTTATACACTGCTGCATGGCTGACTCAGGAGCCACCAGGGCCTGCACAGGGGTGAGCTTTGCTGGTCTAGAGAGTGTTTCTCATTGTCCTGTCTTCAACTTGACCTTGAGTTATCTCTGTGTCCTTGCTCTCCTGTCTTTCACTTTCCAGCTTATTTCTCATTAAATTCTCATATCTAACCCAATAGTGGGGGGGGTTGTACCACTCTAGACTAAAATAACTTAAAATAGCACTGATTATATAACATCTCCCCATTTATTCTCTCAAATTCTGGGATGAAGGGAAGCACTAGTATTTTCAGCAAAGCTTACCATGCGGCTGATGACAATGCTTTGTCTCTGTCAACCTCTGAATCAGTTACTTTTTTTTTTTTGGTTTTTTACTGCAACCCTCCCCCAAAGCTACAGCTGCAAAGTTTCAAGAAAGTAGTTTCCTAACATAATTTCTATTTTTGGTGTTTTTACTGCAACCCTCCCCCCAAGCTACAGCTGCAAAGTTTCAAGAAAGTAGTTTCCTAACATAATTTCTATTTTAGATGAGCCAAATTTATTATTTAAGATTTCACTCTGAATAGAATGAGAGTATGAAGCTTGGCTATGCTACCAAGAGGGACAAAGAGACAGTAGGATCTAGGAAGGGAAGTCGAGGCCAGAGGGCCTGACATCCTAGCTCTGTGAGGAAGGTGGCTGTGGGAAGGAAGATACTTCTGGGGCAATGGCAGAGAAGAGAGATGGGATCTGAACAAGTTGAACCATATGGCATTGAACTTTCGAAAAGTAGCCAAAGAGAATCTAGTTTTCTTGGAATTACAGGCTTTGGAATTGAAATCAACTATATCCAAGCTTCCATGATATAGATAATTATACAGTCTGAACTTTCTAGTCACTGAAACCTCACATGTCACTTTGTGAAAAGAAAAGAATTTTATTCTGAGAGAACCCTTAGTAGACTACCGGGGAAGCAACTTTCATTTTTACCACCAAATGTTTATATGACAACTTCAGTACAGAGCTCACGAGTCCTTAGGAAAAATGATTATAGCCATCAGATACATAACATGTGGCATACACAAGTACTCACATACAACACAGTGCATGCCTAGCTGGAGACAGTGAATGCATACACACATAAATACAGAAACAGTGGTAGAGTTCGAGCAAGATGTTTACCCAGGATGCTTTAGTTTAGAAACACATCGACCTCCCTTGAGACTCCTCTGTGCTAAGATCAAAGCCTGATTTGTTTTGCCTTTTTAGTGTTAGGCACTAAAAAAATGGCTTAATAAATAGGAGCCATTTCTCTGGGGGTGCCTTTCTTCTCTGGGGTCCTGTGAAAAGGATGTAGGAAAACTTTGAGAGAAAGCTTATCTGCATTCCTAAACCCCAGATGGGGCGGACTTTTGGATATGTGAAAAACTGAGCTTGAGCCCATTAATTGTGTTAATGTTCTCATGTTTCTATTCATGTTCCCCTGGATAGCTTCCTTTACCCAATACACTGGCTGAGGAAGAAGGATGGCTGGTGCACCATTCTTCCATACAGATTCTTTGAATTTCCATATCATCGATGCACAGGGAGCTTAATTACTTAGCATGTTTTCTAGGAGGCACAGTAGTGGAAAGAATGGCTTGCTTACTTGTGTTTATCTTCTGGAGTGAAATGTGCTTTTCCAGTTGTCTGCGGAGTTTCACCTCTGCTCCATATTTTCCTGTGGTCCCATTGTCAGCCAGGATGAAGTGAGAATGCATGCTGTTGAGAACGGTGAGCTTGCTCATGGGATTGGACATGGTCTGGTATGGCCGGACTACCTACAGGTAGCAAAATGAAGCCGAAGTTAGAGAGAAGAAAACAAGATGTGAGCCAGAGGATGAGAGAGACTGAAAGAAAGCACAGCTGACACCCTCTTTCTGGAGCTAGAGTAGAAGGAAGATTATTGGTAACATCTCATTAGAAGGAGGACTGAAAGAAGTGTTTCTTACCAGATCTACAGTTAGTGCCTTTGCTGTGTTAAAGAGTTGTACATTGACTACTGTTTCATTCAAATGTTTATCTTGCTACTGAGCAAAAACATCATCTTAAATTTAACTAATGCATTTCTTTCTTCTCTTCTTTGGTCATGTCCATGGTTTAATAGGTACTGTAGAAGTCCTTATTCTGGAGAATGGGGGTCAGTTTCAGGAGATGGGGAAGGGGCAGTTCTTTCTTGTTGCTTTGTTTGTTTTCGTTGTTGTTCACTCTCACTTAGCAACCAGAAACTCTGTTATTTAAAATCAGCAATATCCTTAATAACATCCCTTAAGTACAAAAGAGCTTGACTATAAAATAACCATCTCATGAGATGAAAATGAATCAGGCCTAAAAAGTTCATCTCTGTTCTGTTCTCTGTCTCTGTCTCCTATTCTTATTTTAATTTCATAATGAAATGCACTCTGTAAAATAGAACAATTTCAGCACAGCCTTTGACATTTTTGCTATCAAAAGCCATATCCATCTTGACCTGTTGCTTTTTATATGGGATCTGTGTTCCATGTTACAATCCTACCTGACATATTATGTTTATTTTGTAGATGGAAAGGTAAAGAAATAGGTGAGTTATCCAAAAATTTAGGCAAATAATCAGAATTTGCATCCAGGCCTGATTCAAAACTCTGAGCTTATGATTTTATTCTCATGCTGCTTAGAGTAAATTGGGCATAAATTATATTGGCAAACTATTGCTAAAATATCTAGGTTAGAGCTTCACCAGAAAAGGAAGAAAAGAGGCTGTTCAATAGGCTCACTGTTACACAGCCCCAGCATGGTTACTTCTGCACAAAATCACTGAAATGGACAGGACAGAAATAGATGCTACTGGGCTCTTACTTTTTTTTTGCCTTTGTACAGTGCATCCATTAATTATACAGATGAGATGCATTTGCTTCTTCCGGCATGTAATAACTCAGCATGTGATGCTGGAGTAAGATTGAGTCATGTGTTAAAGGCATTACAGGGTGATTTAGTGAGGGCAGTTTTCAATAGCAAAGAGCTCATGTAAGTCATTTTTTAGACCTTGATCCTGATTCCAAACCTACAGTGCAATGTTCCTGGAAGATGAAATGTACTCAATAAACTGAATGAATAGGCAAACCCGAGACAGGCATGCTTTTGTTTAAACCTGGGAAGGCAATGGATCTTTTCTTTTCAGAATTGTTAGGGAACTGATCTGATTTAAATTTAAAATGTGTCTATGATTCCGAGCTTTTGAAATGGCCTCCAGTCCTGTTATATGTGTTCTAGTTCTCAGATATAGAATATAATGCTAATGCCCAGTTTCATTTTAGTTGCTTCTCATTGATTTCAAAAGCTGATAACCTTGATCATTGCTTTGAATAACCCCATGGGCAGTAGTCAATTGCTGCCTTGTCCAGAACAGTGAGTAGGATTCTTCCAAAAGGGTGATGCCTGCATTGGGAAGCCTGTCCTGTACGCTGCAGCACTAGAAGAATGGGTGGCATGTGGTTGAGGTTGAAATTTCCATTTGTTGCCACTCATATTTGATCATAAAACATTCATCCTACAGGGGAGTGCATGCTAATTAATATTAATGCTTGGAGGCTTAGCAGAAAGACCTTCCCCTGTTCTGAAAATGCCTGTGCACTGCACACCAGGCAAAGGGAAATGCATTAGTAATGGTGCTGATTTTCAGTGGCAGGTCCTGAGGACTCATTGCCCAGGGGGTACTGAGGGCACAGCAGGGGAAACTGGAGTTTGGGGGGTTAAACAGTGTGTGATAGTTCTATCTCCCCTTCCCCAACTTTAAGTTCTGAATCTACTTAAAGACTATTAGTAAAAGTAATTTCAAGGGGGAAAAGAAAAGTAATAAAGACCTCTGTGAACTAAGCTGAGTATATCACAAAATAAAAGGCAATTACATTGTCTTCCTGTGACCACCACATCTCTTTCCTCCATTATTGAGTCCTAATTTCACTGGTGCTTCAGTCTTTGGGCGTGTGACAACCCTTTCTTGTGAAATACAGCTCAGATGTGCTTAGGGGGTTCTATACATCTGCAGATTTTGATTTCTTCATTATCTGAATCTTATTTTGATCTCATCATGTGTAGCAAGTTATAGGTTGCCATATTTAGGCAGAGAGGTTGTCTGCTGAACAATAGAGGATATAAATCTGAAAAACTGAGAAAAATTCCCACGTATTTCTCTCTTCTTTGGAGGAAGCTTTACAGAGTCCTGGAGCATCCCCAACAACATAATCAAGGAAGGAATTGCAGTTCTATCCATGACTGTTGAAACCTGAGTCTCTTAATTTGTAAGAAGGAAATAATAACCCTACTGACCTCAGGGGGACTGGTTTAGATTACATGTGCAAAGTACCAGGCACAATATCCAGCTCCTACCAAACTTTCTACAATATTGATTCCTTACCTAGCTTTGCTTAATCTTACCAACTATATACTTCAGGCTCTAAACCAGAGATCCAAACATGATATGGAATAAATTACTCACTTTTGATTTAAATCAATGTAAAGAGAGGAAGAAAATCAACCATCTGTTGGCAAAATATGTTAAGTATGTCTAATTTTCACATCCCCCAGGCATCTAAGAAGGCGATGGTGTGGAACTATTTGTTGATTAACTGAAAGTTTGGAAATAATTTACAAGTACTTCAGAGAAACGCATTTTGGTTTAACTTGCCTACAGAATCCATTTAATATTCTTTGTTATAAACATGTCCTCGGTCCCTTTCTATTTGAGTTACAGTCTGCATATATACAAATATTTCCTGATCTTGTGTGTTTTCCAAATAGAACAAATACTGCTTTTTAAATAACAGTAATAAATAACAGTAATAAATATTTAAATTCATTTAAATACAAATGAATTTACAGAGAGAGGATGGCTGTCTTTGGAAGCATGTGTTGGTATGATGGTGATGTTTTTACGGGGGCACTGGATGACCATGGATGCTTCTCAGTGGGGGCTTGGTGAGAAAGTTAAGTCATAAAGATCCATAACTTCCAAGGGGTAAGATGTTCACTTTGTTTCCCAAGAAATCAGGAGAGTGGAAGTCATGTACTCCTTCTTGGAAGAATTGAGAAGGCAGACTCTCAAATCATTTTCTCCATTTCTTTATTGAGATCATAAGCTGAATTGAGGAATGTTGAATGAAAGGCCTTTTAATCACTCTTCATGACTGATAAGTAAGTCTACTTACAAGTGGACTCTAGACCCTTTCTCTTCTCTGACCATCACTGGCCACAGTGTGTATAAATAAGGATTTTTTCTTGTCTCAATTGCATACCATTTAGTATTGCACTAGGTGTTTGATAGAATTCTGGCTCATGCCTCTACATACACCTTAGCTCTGACAGAGAACACCTCTGAGGAGTGGGATATTGCAAGAGTTTATACAAGGCGTTAGCAGGAAGTGCCCTTTATGTGCTAGTCATAGGCTGCTGCATTTATATTCTGCACATGGGCTTAAATCAGGCATTGCAGGCTGCTTTACCATAGCTGCTGGAGTTTTTCTAAGTATGTTCAGGCATGTCATGGTCTCATTTAGGAGTATTTACAGGAAATCATCATCTAGGGACTATAGTTTAGTTTCTATAGCTACTACCTTGTAACATTGGGGAGATATCTGAAGTCACTGCTCATTACTTCATAAATTTCTGGAGGAAATGCAACCTGTGATGGCAGTATGCTGACATGCATGATGGTACCAGAGGACCATCACCGTACATGATCATGTCAAGATAATGTCTCTTAATAAATGTTCAAGATAGGCTGAGTTTTCTTATCTGTCAAGTATCGGACTTATAGCTCCTGGAAGCTTTTTTCCTCTAATGCCTGAGTCTGTAAAAGTCGTGTTAGAAAGCATACTTCTAATTCAAGTCAGTGGAGAACAGAGGCCTAAAATGAGTATTGGCTACAAAAGTAAAGTCACATTCCCTCTCAAGCATTGCAGTCTTGTCTCTCTTGTGGTGCTTTGTACAGTGCCATGGCAATTTGATTACCTGAGATTCCTTTTCCTAACAAAATTGAGTTTGTTAGGAAATTATTCCAAGAAGGAGTACATGACTTCCACTCTCCTGATTTCTTGGGATTGAGTTGGGATAAATTAGGGTTTTAGGTCATCGATCAGAGGCCCTCTACAGTTCCAAGTCCATGTCTTAGTGTTTGCGTGTCAACATGCCCCAAACAAACAGCAGAGTTGGGGATAGAAGGCCAGAAGACTCATCTCATCATACTAGCAACATAGTCTTAATTTAGACCAGAAGCAAATGAGCATTCATTGACCATGTCTGGTGTGCTATGCTCTGTGAGGACAAGATCCCATGGAGTAATGTTTTGTCTTTATTTTATCCAGGGAACTGTAAGGTTTTGAAATGTGAGGTGTCTTGGTCAAATGTGTCCCATCATTCATTCATGTCTTGATCTGAAGTTCTTTTATAAGCCAGCACATGTTAGGCAGAAAAAGGCAGAACTGGCTCATTTTAAATTTATAGAGGATGCTGTGGTTGGCTTTGCTGCTGGGCATTTTTTGTTACTGGTGGAATCCTTCAAACAGCTGAGCACACTGTTTCTGATAGAGGCATCTAGAATGGTTATTTAGGAGATCAGGGAAGGTATCAGCAGGGGGCCAGATGGGGTTGTACTTTGGTGAGAGAGAAAGGAAAGGTGTGTTGAGATTCTCTAAGGATTCTGGCATCTGTGACTACCAGGGAGAAGGGGTGGGTATTGCTGAGAAGTGGGAAGTAACTTTGTGTCAGAGATAAAGGACCATGGGGACTGAGAATGAAATGAGAAAAA